TTTTGAAATATATTTAAATTAATTTTTTTATGAATAATTAAAGTAAAATATAATTTTTTATAAATAATTAAATTAAAATTATTTTTTAAAATCTTATAATGATAACTTTTTAACGATGTTATGTTAATATAATAAGAAAGTAATAATACAATATTTACAACTTTAAAGGAAAAAATTATAATTTATTTTATGTTTTGACATATGTAAAGTGGATAATGTAATACTTATATTTTTTTAAGGGAGGAAAATGTAATTTAAATTAATGACGTTAAGTTAAGTGGACTAAATTATACGATTTAGTATAAGAGAGGAGATGAGTGTAATACTCTTATCTCTTAAAAGAGGGTAATGTAATTTACTTTAAATTTTAAATTCTTATGTTAAATAGGGCGATTTGATTTTCATTATAGGTAAAATTCACTTGTTCTAAGAGTAAGTGTACTTAGACTTACTTTACTTAATAATAACTCATGTTCTTCATCAAATTTTAATAATTTAACTGTTAAATTAAAAATTCTTAATATATAAATCAAGTTTACAAATTTTTTAAAAAAATAAAAATTATTTAATATTTTATTTCATTATTTCAAATTGATAAACAATTATAAAAGTATTTGATACGTTAATTTGAATTAATAATATAAAGTATCAAATTATTTTTAAAATTTTTAAAAAATTACAGACTTAATTTATGTATTAAGAACTTTTAATTTAATGATTGGATCATAAAAATTTGATATAAAATATAAATTATTAAGTGAAGTAAATATAAAAAGAGTTATTATTGGAATAAGTGGATTCCTAGCTCCCTTGTCTTTATCTCTCTCAATATATTTTAAGATTGAATACCAAAAGGTTTATCTTAAAAAAAATCCTGATTGAATATGATACCACAAGAATTTTTTATTAAAAAAAGTCTTAAAGTTATTTAAAAATTTTATCCAATACACTTTCTGTGTGTTTAATTTTTTGTTGTTTGCATATTTAGATTTGAGATTTATAATATAAATAATATTCAAATAATTATAATAAGATTATTTTTTTGAGGTAACTCAATCTATCAAAAGAATTCAAAATCGACCTTGTTATTAATAAGTTGAAAATTGGGACTAATCACGTTCGGCATCGATGGTGACTAATCTTCCTCTATGCCTCTATATTCAGCACTAGAAAATAAGTGGCATGTAGGGGATAACATGGTTTTGGTTTCCTCTGTTCTTGAACTCGAGGTAAAATGATGGTTAATGCTGCACAGTATGTGTGTTGGGGCCATTGAACAATATTGCCTACATTACGAACCTCACCTAGAAAAGACAATGTTTCCAGTTTTTACTTGGAACTGTTGAGACGATGCCCCTAGTTTACCAAAAAGCAAAACACCTTGGACAGAAAAAATTATGACCCCCATTGACTGGAATGCCCCTGAGGGTGACTTCACATCCTCATTATCACTTTTACAAAAGCTGCGGCAAGTGAAATTAATTAGAAATCCTGCGTGTGGGTACAATGGTCTATAAAGATGTATCCTCCCCCTCTCTTTTCTTTGTAAGAGAGAGAGGAAAGGGTTGTGCGTGAGAGTGTGACAAAAATAGGAAGCTTACGTGTGTATTTGGGGGCTTGGCCTGTATTTATGCATGCAAAGCAAAGGAAAATTTTACTGTGTGATGAAATTACGATCGAGAGGGTTTTGTTTTTTTGTGGGGATGTTTTTCTTCTGGAGCCCATTGTGGGATCAAGTTTTGAGCTTTGTGATTGGGTCTTTTTGAAAGTTTATTAAGGAGGGCTATACAGACAATACCTGTTGAAGATGAGGGTTGGAAGGAAGAGAGAGAAAGCTGTTGGAAAAAAGCTGAAAGTTTAAAAGTAAGTTAAAAGAAAGCTGAGTGAGGTAACCGAAAGAGGAAAAGAAAGCTTTTGCCTTCCTCTATTCTATGTCCTTCTTCTCTTAGCTTCCCAAACCTCCATCGCTAACACAGTCACTGAACACTTTCTATTATCATACATGTTAGTCAATACCTCATCTCCCTCTTCAGTTCCCACTTCTGAGCCATTTTCCTGCGCTGAAAATGGTACTGCAGTTAGTAAAAGGAAGAGAAGGCCTGCAGGAACACCAGGTGCAGATTCTAATTAACTAATCTCTTAATTTTCTAAAACCAAAGAGTGTTTATTTGCATGTATGTATATTAATTGATTGAGCGCAGATCCAGATGCAGAAGTGGTTTCCCTCTCACCCAAGACCTTGCTGGAATCGGATCGTTATGTGTGTGAGATCTGCAACCAGGGATTCCAGAGGGACCAAAACCTTCAGATGCACCGTCGGCGGCACAAGGTGCCGTGGAAGCTGCTGAAGAGGGAGACGCCGGTGGTGAAGAAGCGAGTGTTTGTATGCCCGGAGCCAAGCTGTTTGCACCATGACCCGTGCCATGCCCTCGGTGACCTCGTTGGCATAAAGAAGCATTTCAGAAGGAAACACAGCAGCCACAAGCAATGGGTCTGTGAGAGATGCTCCAAAGGCTACGCGGTGCAGTCTGATTACAAAGCACATCTCAAAACCTGTGGCACCCGAGGCCACTCCTGCGATTGTGGCCGCGTTTTCTCAAGGTTAATTACCATCCCGCATGCTTATTAATTTCGCCTACCTTTTTCTTTATTATTATTTTATTCCTTCTCCTTTTGACTTTAGATATATTTTTTTCAATGCTTTCAGCAACAAACGGCAAATTTTGTATAAATATAAAACTTTAATACTATTTGACTGATGGAACCTTAAACAAAATTTCAAACAATGTTTCTCGACATCTGGGAACACACGGTTCCCGAAGCGAAGCTCTCGTTATATATATATATATATATATTCAATTCCACCATTATTCCAATAGCTAGCTAGCTCCTCCTCCCTTAACCTGTGCGACCATCGGTAGCTCAAAATGACATCAGTTTGGTGTCCTTTTAATTAGTGAACTGAAATCTCTCCCCCACCTCTTGACTTGTTTACCAGGCAAGAGGCAACTTTTATAATCACTTTTCTCTTTCATATACGAGTATTATAGAACGAAGGATCTGACGAGTGAGGCTTTTGAATGGTACGAAAGGTTCTTTGTGTGATCTCTCAAATAATTGTGTTTGTAGGGTGGAAAGCTTTATTGAGCACCAAGACGCGTGCAACGTGGGGCGGTTGGGGCCAGAAACACAGGCAGCTGCATGCTTATCTCGAACTGCTTCAAGCCCTTCAAGCGACACCAATTTCAGCACAGGTGGTCCTTGGCCAGGAGCAGGAAGTGCAATGATTCAAAAGCCCACCGTAATAACAGAACCCTCATTCACCGACCCTACCATTGCCACCAACACCAACGCCAACAAACTCCACCCTAACCTGGAGCTTCAGCTCTCTACAGTCGCTCCTACTGAAAAGAGAGACGGAAACCACTCCACACACACACAGTTGCAGCTCCTATCCATGGGAGAAAGAATGGACAAGTCATTGGGTGAAAGGGTTCAACAGGAGGCACGTGAGCAGCTGAGGATAGCGATGGCGGAGAAAGCGTTTGCAGAAGAAGCAAGGAACCAAGCAAAGAGGCAAATGGAGCTCGCGGAGCTTGAGTTCTCTAACGCCAAGAGGATAAGACAACAAGCCCTTGCGGAACTAGACAAAGCCTATGCCTTGAAGGAGCATGCAATCAAACAGATCAACTCAACCATGCTTCAAATCACTTGCCTCGCTTGCAAGCACCGTTTTCAATCGCGAACCATACCTCCCCCGGCCCCGGATGATAACTCTTTCGTCTTCACCTACATCACAACGGAAGCTGCCCAAGTAGAAAAACATCGTGTCAAAATTAACTCTTAGACTTCTCTTTCTACATTCTCCATTCATATCATATCCCACCTTAATTTTATTATTGTTTCTATTACTATATATTGTTTTGTTTTTCTACCCTAATTAATATCTTTTGTGAATTGGTATACCACCATGTGAAGTGAGTGCTACGGTTATGTAAGTGAGATTGAGGTGGTCGAGAAAAGGAGTATTATTATTAATGTAAATTAGTCGCAGTTTGTGCCATGTTATTTGATAATTAAATTTGGTATAAACACAGACTATGGTGAACAGGTTTTGCTTAAATGTTGCTTCTTTAATTTGCCGCGGTGTAATGATACAGTAGTAGTACTGGTATGTATATGTATTATATATATTCATTCTCGTTAGGTTTTTCTCTCGTGCATTGCAATGAATGAGAGTCAGAGAAGCACTGAATTCCGCACCCTTTAGTTTTGGTTGTTTTGGATTATCTGTTTGGACTATGTGTAGATCTTTGTTGGACGTGTAGGGCAGAAACCGGAGAAGAGTCCTTAACAAGCATTAAAGAATTGTACTGAAGAAAAGAAAGTAAATAAAAAGGAAATGAATACACACAAGTTATAGAGAGAGAAAAGGGAATCCAGATAGTATAGTCCTTACTTTTGGACTGCTATTCTGGCGACTTATAAATGTGAATAAAAAGCAGCATGTTTTTCAGTGCCACTGGGTGAGGGGTTAATGACAGTCGCAGACTCAGTCGTCCCTCTCAAGAGTCTCAAAGCGTTCAGACACAAACAAACTCTATTCATGATGACCACCTTAACGTCTCTTGCATCTGAATCAGGGCCAAGACAGTAGTGGGCGCAGAGAGAGGCAGAACCAGAACCAGCATCTTTCCAAATATGCAGAGACCATTCTAAGCTTTTGGGGTTACAAAAGAATTGCTTGTGATCATGTTAATAAAATAAATAAATAAATAAAACTCTATTACACACACAAACAATGTTTTCTTCTTCTGTGGTCCTCTTATCTTTCATTGCGAGAACCAATACAAAAGGCCAAAGATATGAGCAGCTTAAAGAGTCGTATTTATTTAGTTTCCTCCGCTAGTAGCTTTTTATCTTGGACCATGTGCTTCTTCTCTCTCGTCTATGCATCGTTGTAATTGCTTGGTTCAGTATCAGTCTCCACTTTTACCTGACGCACAAAATTGCATTTGCATTTGCATTTGCTGTGTATAATTATTACTCCTATCAACTGGTGGAGGTTGCACTGTCAATTGACTCTGGGGTCGTCCTATCCTATTGTAAGCTGGTTTCTCACATTAACTAACTGGTGGGTGGGTTGAGTCCCATTTCAGAACCCTTTTCTTATCTTCTCACTAATATCCCCATCCCCATCTTGTACAAATAAAGCAAAAGGAGAAAAAGGTAAATTACCACGCTAACTAAATTCTACGACTCCATTATGTCAGTGACATGAACTTCGTATATAGCTTCAGCTCCAAATGAGCTTCTAGTTGTACTGTAATCGCGAAACAATTATTGTTTTTCTCCAAAAATGAGACCCTGTGGTTTTCTATTGTTAGAGGAATCATGCATACATAATAATAAATAAATAAAAACTAGCTACTATCAACTATCGTTTAAATTGGAAACTCGTATTAGATTTTTTGTTTTAGTTGATCGGCGTCTCCATCTCTCTGTATCTCTATATATATAGACACACACAATGATAAAACATTTCCATTAAAAGATAAGGTATAGTCGGCAAAAAATCCAAGCCTAATCCATATAAATGTATTTGAATTATGTACTTGTATACAACAGTTGGTTTTCTTTGTAGATAACTTTATGAATAATCATAGCCTATCATTTTGGTGACATTAACATAGATAGTATACTATAGGTTTTGTTTTGTGATGATATCAGCTGAATGCAATGATACATCTATGATACTATATTGCCAAAACGAGAAAAACATAGATAATATACTAGAGGTCGTCCTTCTAAATACAATCCAATCAAAAACTTTCTCTCTTGTACATAATCCGATGCTACAGTTTTGATTAAAAAATTATATGGAAATTAATTTAAATGTTGTTCTGGAACCTGTTGTAATGCACACAGCAGTTGTAGAGTCAGAAAGATAATTAAATAACGCAACTGCATCATGTTTCTTTTTCGGGTTACATAGTACAGTACTACTTGTTTAAACTATTTTTCAAAAAAATATTAATAGATCTTAATTCACTTGGGTATACGGATATAGGAGAAGGAACAGCTTTAGTAGGGCTACATTACGCCCTATTAATCTTTAAGTAGCATTGTTATCAAAAGAAACTGTCCAAAACATAAAGATACAAAAAAAGAAACCTATCGAAACATGATTGAGTGCTACTCTATACACGTACAAACCCATTTCAAAAACTCCGTATTTTTTCCAATTATGTCTGTTTTACTTTTCAACATATCATTCATTTCTTATTGAGTATTCAAAGGAAGTTACTATTCCTAAAATACAAGTTTCGTGAGAAATTACGCGCAACTCAAGTGAAATTTTCCAGAAGGATTTGTTTTGTTTGAAAAAGTCTTTGATATGATTGACCATATGTGATAAAGCTTTAGTCAATAATGGGCGATTAATATGGACCTTACCATCGATAATGGAAGGGAAAGAAAAGGAAGATAAATAAAAAGAAAAGAAAAAAAAGAAGAAGAAAAAGACCTTTCCATAGATAAAGCTTTGGTGCTTCGATATTGTCCTGGCATCACATTGACATGGGCCGTAAAACAAGGGTATCCGATCAAATGTGAATTCAGCTCTTCATTTACACAGTCCTAATGCTGAATGTGAACCTGCCATATCCACCACTACAAATAATGCTAACCTATCTATCTTTTGCATATATACATCAGAAATCTCAATCTTTTTTATTTCCGGAAGAAAGGTGTATAGGAATTTTTATCTTTTAATAACTGAATCTGAAGTGGATAGGAGAGTTAAATGCGGAGTTATGAAGTTCAAATGTGAGTAGGGAAAATCAATCCAAAGGACGACGAGATAATTATTTATTATGGTATGTAGAATAATTAAAGTTACTATTAATGGGATGAAAACTATGACTGTCGTGTTAATTACAATAGTTTCCGCAAATAATCAAACTTTCAAAAATAAATATTAAATTTTTAACTATTTTTCCACTTTAATTTTTCATCCCAGCTTTTTCCTTTTACCTACTACTACTATTATTATTATTATTATTATTATTATTATTATTATTATTATTATTATTATTATTATTATATCAATCACTTTCTTCTATTTCCCTTTTAATTTCTTCAAAGGTATCTTCTCTCTACAGTACACCCTCGGAGTATCTAAAGATCACTTTCTTAAAAGAGCATTGCTACAGCTTTCCGAAAATGGAAGCCGGAAGCCGAAAACGCTCCCAATGATTAAAAAATTATTATTTTTTAATAAATTTATTAAAATAATTATTTTATAATAAATTTATTAAAAATAATAAATTTTTTAATTATTCGACAATTTTTCAGCCTCCATTTTCGGAGGATACAGTATTTTCCTTCTTGAGTATAAGATATATTAGACTCGTATAGTGGACTAGTATCAAGAAAGACGCCCTAAGCAGGCTTTTAGTTCTACAATTTGTAGGCAATTTATATAGTCAGTCCTAGGACATGAGGAGTTGCACCTTAGAGTTAAGTAGCCGTACTATACAATATAATAAGGAGGATATTCCTCCATCATCAAATACATGCACATTACTTAGTGTTAGTATGTTTTTGTTTTATTGTTAAAATTTGACAAACGTAAATTGAATGGAAAAATAGAAATATTTATTTTGTATTTTTTTGTTTTGGAAAGTGTATTTTTATGTTTTTGTTAAAAAAATGATTTTTCAAACACGCTATTAGTCGTTCCAAATACCTCTCTAGCTACCGATTTCACTGTATGAAGCAAAGAAACCGCTTCGATCGAGCAGATTCGACCGAACTTTAGCTAACAACTGTTAAAATTGGGTCTTACTTGTTAAGTGACAATGCAAAGGAGGGGAACATTCACTCTCGAAAGTGACTCTAGGTTCGGTACATGTCTATAGGTGACACTCAAGTCAATGACCATTAGAATTAATGAGAGTTTTTTCTTTTTATCTGGCATATGTGACTGTATTACCCTTATTGTAGGAAGGAAAAGTTGGGTTAGATTGAATTTAGATCCTTTTTGAATTTGGAGTTAAAAATCTCAAATTAACTCTCTAACATATCAAAATAATAAGTGAAGGAAAGAAGGGGAGGAAACAAGGCTTGCATAGGAACTAGCTGTTTGTGATCCTCGCTTTCCAGTGAGGGCAATTTTTTGCATGATCCTCTTTAGCATAATTGTATTGTTTGTTGATGATTTTCTTGGCATGTATTTGCTATTCCCGTGCTGATTGTATGATCTAGTTCCTTTAATATCTTATTTGATCATGCTGGTTGTGGTTCTTTAAGGGTTTAGGGTTTTGACATGATGTGAGAAAGAGATTTTGATGTCTTATTAGCATGGATGTTCACGAGTACAGGTAACTATAAACTTAACCCTCCTAGACTCAACAATTTAGTTTAAATTTGTATGTTTGGATAAAACTTAACCCAAACAGACTTGTTTTTTGGCTTGAATATATTGGGTTTTAGTGCTGAAAATTCAGTCTAACTTAACCCATTCAACAAATTTTTAATTTTAATTACCTCGCATCTTTGTTAATCATAAATATTATATTAAAATTTCAATTCATACACTTAGGAAAGTTTGTTAACCACATCACTTTTTTAGTCATTTTTTTTCTTCGGTGAAGACTCGCTTTAGAGACAAAAACGTAAAAAACAAAACTAATAGGAACTAAAGCCAACAAAAAAAAAAGAGACAAGAACTAAAAAAGGAAAGGCGCCAAATTACATTGAAAAAAATATATTTAAGTTAAAAATATATCTAACATGACTGAATGTTAAGAAAAAAAATAAGACTGAGTTGTATGGTAATATGTTTTTAACAAAGATTAAGTATAGATTTCATCTGATTTAAATATTCTTTATATTCTTTTATGAAATTTTTAATAAATTTTAATTCATAAGAAATTGATTGAAAATATGAATTTTAAAAAGGTGAAAAAATATATAATTATTTTTTATATATTTTTAATTTCTCAAATTTAACATAAATTTATTTTTTCTCTCAAATTTAAAGTTATTATTTTTAATCTT